CTGTTAATTACTTTCACTGATCACAATCATTTTAAAAAGTGAAAATTATTGGTAGTAGCAGTGCATATCTAAGTAAATATAATCACTTTTAAAAACTAATTTTAAAATAAGGACACATCTCACACTAGGTTTTGGAATTTTTTTGTTGAGTTGATTCTTTGTATGCTTCAGTTATCACAGTGTTCAGTAGGCGCTTACTGAACTAAATTGTTTAACTATATGGTCTAGATCCATTTCTTGACATTTTAATACAGGTTTTCATACTCAAAAAGTTTAAAAGAATAGAATTAAGGAGGGTTATAGATCATATGTTGATTTAAAATCTATATGCATTAATTTGACATTTTTATACTATTCTAGTTAAGTGTGAATAATAAATGGATAGGGCAATTAAATAAACGTTCATTTATTTAGTAAAAAATCTACTACGATTCAAAAAGAGATCTAGTTGTATTAGAAGCTCTGTAGCTCAGGGTCAAATCTTTTAGCCTTGAAGGTCAGAAAGCTTCTTGATTATCAACCCAAGTGGGGATCAGGCTCTTACAGCAAAACTTAACATCTGTAAATTTAGAAGGCAACAAAAATCAGTTTTGATAAACACCCACATTTTAGCATTGATAATTCATACATTCCTTCTCTGTAGTCATTTGCATTTACTGAGTACTTGCCATGTATCTGACATGCGTTGGCTTAATCATCTTCAAAGGCTATATGTGCTCATAGATATATTTAGGGAATTATCCTACATTCCCTTCTACTAACTACAAAAAAAAGACATCCTGTCCTTGGGCCAGTGACTTATTAAACATACCCTGGTCATAATTCAGAAGATTGGTTATTTTTCATTTATTGATGAATAAATAATGGCTGCATCACTTACAGTGTTGTAAATACGGTTAAACATTTCAGCCTCAGCTTTCTCACTGGCAAAATGGAATTCATAATTATCATTGTGAGATTTAAAGAAAGTGAAATATCAAGCAGCCATTACACTGCTGGACCAAGTATTACGCGTGCTCGGCAGTTGATACATTATTTTTTTTGTTATCCTTTGTTTGTTATTCTATAAGTTAGTATTTCAAAGTCCATGAGTCTTTTCTCTGCCATTAGTGTGGAGACAGCTAATTTATTTCTTTACTAAATTTCACTGTCAATTTTAAAAATTGTTTATAAATTAAAATGTTAATTCATAACATTGATAGGCACAGATGACTACTGAAATCTTACAGCCTTTCTTAAAGTAGTACAGTTGAAACAGGAAGTGACAATGATAGAGTTTTCACTTGAGAACTAACGGTATTTTTGGTGCAGTTTTGATCACTTACTTGACAGTAATTCTAAACAGTGGATGGTTCAGAATTTCATTTTGAATTTTACTTTCAGGATGTTCAAAAGTTCATTTAAATAGTTTTGCAGTTAATCAAAAAGATGTGAAATCTCATGAGAGCAGTAATTTCATTGGGCAGCTACTAGATTATGTATAGATTTGCAGAGAATAGAACAGAGAGCTCCAGTAGAAGGGTGCTTCACAAGGGTACAAGTGGTCTTCCTAAATGTCAAGTGCGGTGGTTCTGCTCTCCCTCAGCCCTTTGACCCCACTTAGCAGTTTGCTTTGTTTTTCAAAAATTGTAGATAGATGGGGCTGGGGATTTAGCTCAGCGGCATAAGCGCCTGCCTTGCAAGCAGGCAGTCATGAGTTTGATCCCTGGTACTGATAAAAACGAAAAAGACAAAAAAAAAAAAAAAAAAAAAAAATTGTAGATAGAGTTTGAGTTATAGCTTGGTATTTCTGTGTTTCATTCTCTTTTTTTTTAATGCTTGAAATCTGATGATGATGAGTTATGAGTGTTTCTTCTCGGCATTTAAAAAAATAAAATAAAATACTAATAACAACTAGTCTAGGTTGTTAATAGCTTTGAGTACATTTTTGTTTTCCTTTGGAAACAACAGCTCTGTACATATTCCTCGGGATAAAAATCCCAAATAGACTTATAAAACTTTTGGAGCCCACATTACCCAAGTCATAAACCGTGAGCAGGTCTATAGGTGCACCAAAGTGAGTATTTTAGTAGGACCTGTCCTGTAGCACAGTGGGCAGAATACACAGGAGGGGGCCCTCCTGCGGAATGCTGCTTATATAGCAGCTTAGGGGCCTGTGAGAATGAGGGGCAGGGCTGAAACCACGGGCTGTCCTGGAGGGCTCATTCTGAATGTCGGATATTAAAATAGGGCCAGAGCCCACCTTTCTTTATCTTAGTCACTCCAGGATGCCCTCTCTTTTCAAAAATGCAGTAGTGTGATCTGAAGTGACAAGAGTTTGAGAAAGCAGCACTTATGTTGGAGTGAAAAATTGCTGTTTGATAGCCAGGGAGGACACTGCCAGATCAACAGTAGGATGCTGAAGCAAACTGTCCCAGCCCAGTGGGGTGCAAGAGGGAGCAGAAGGTGGGGGTCAGATGATAGACAGCTACCAGCTAAGCTACACGCTTCTTCAACTGACGGGGGTAAAGTGAGTCAGGTGCTTTTTGTCTGTCTCTCTGATATGTTTTACGTTTTGTATATGATGTGAACTATAGATTTTTTTTTTTTGTAGATGTTCTTCCTCAGTAAAAGGAAGTTCTATCTATAATTTGCTGAGAATTTTTAAAAAATAAAGAATAGACATTGGAATTTGGCAAATGTTATATCAATGTCTATTGTATTTAATATAGCCACATTAATTGCTATTTAATTATGAAAACAACCTTGCATTCCTGGGAGAAACCCATTTGATAAAGATATGTAATTCATTATATAATCTGATGGCTTTTAACTGCTAAAATTTTGTTTAAAATTCTGCGTATATATTTATTTGTAAAACTGGTTATATCTCTTCTTGGTCTTTTCTTGTAATGTCTTTGGTTTTGAGAAATTGCTTTTTACTGTTTCTGGAAAAGTTTTTGTAGAATTCGCTATTGCATATAATTCACCAAGGCAGATTTTGGGGGCTGGAGTTGTCTTTGTGGAAAAATATTTAATTATAAATTCAGTTTCATTTGGGTTATCTGTTTCTTCTTCAGTGAGTTTTGATCATGTTTGCCTTTTGAGGAATTAGTCCATTTTAAGTTGTCTAACTTGTCAGACAGGTCCAACACTCTTCAGTAGGATCTGAGCTGATGTTAGCTACTTTCATTTCTTACTCTTAATTTGTATCATCTTTCTTTTTCATAATCATGTTGGCTAAAATTTTATCAGTCTTACTAATCTCAGAGGTCCAACATTTAGATTTATTAATTTTTCTCTATTCTTTCTGTTTCATTGATTATCATTCTGATCTTTACTGATTTTTTTCCCCTTTCTACTTTGAGTTTAATATATTTGGGTTTTGTTACATCCTTTTAGTATTCAAGGTAGAAATCAAAGACACTGACTTGAGTCCTTTTTTCTGGTATAGGCATTTATTATGTTTCTCTGTATACTACTGCAGTGGCCTTTGGTGCTATAACAAACATTTTGATATGCTGGGTTTTCATTTTCATTCAGTTCAAAATGCTTTATAATTTCTATCTTCTTTTGGCATGGGGTTATTTTTAATTGTCTCATTTAGATTTTATGTATTTAGGGATTTTCCATGTATCTTTTTAAATTAGTTTCTTATTTAATTCCATTCTATTCAGAGAACACACTTAAAAGGATTAGAATCATTTAAAAATTTACTAAGAGGTCTTGTATGGCCTAGAATATGATCTGTTGTGGTAAATGTTATTTGTACACATGAAAGAAAATGTGTATTCTGCTTTTGTTTTATACATACCAGTTAGGTCAACCTGAGTAGTAGTGTGGCTCAAACCCATATGGTTGTTTCTCTCCACATACTCTACCAACAGGACAGAGGAATCAAAGTTGCTATAGATGTGTGTTTGTCATTTTCCTTATCTGTCTGTCAGTTTTTGCTTCATCTGTTTTAAAGACCTGATATAAACATTTTGAATTATATAGAAGAGTTTGCCCTTTAATAATTAGGAAATCATTATCTTTGCCAATGATCTTTGACTGAAATATATTTGATAGTAACATAGACATTCTAGCTGTGCTTTCAATGCATTGTGTCATTTTCATTGTAACTGTCTTGAGTCCTTATATTTCAAAAGTTTATTAGAAATTAAATAGAGATAGGGTTTGTTTTTATTCACTAGACAACCAGCATCTTTTATTGGAGTATTTATGCCTTAGACATTCAATTCTTGATATGATAGGTTTGAGTGTATTATCTTGCTGTCATTTTTTTTACTTGTATCATACATTCACAGGTTTCATTTTCTTCTTCTTGCCTTCTTTTGGATTAATAAGCAATTTCACATGATTTATGTCTTTTGTCGGTATATTAGCTGTAACTCCTTGGTTTGTTAATTCTTTAAACATTAATAACCAAGCCCTGCCACTGAGCCCTAACGATCATCATGATGCAGTGGTTGCTTCTTCAGTACTTACTCTTGCATTTGTGCTAGGCACCTGCATAGAAATTTTTACAAATTACTTGCATTTAGTTTTCACAATTGCCTTAGAGATAAGTATTGTCACTAACCTAATTTATAGCTGAAGAATGTAAACAAAGTTAAATCTCAAACCCCCACTTGATGTAGTGGGCTTCACATGTGCCTTCAGTCTGCTTGCACTGTTACCCTTGTCTCAGGGCCTGATGCCTACCTCTTTAGACTGAATGGGTCCATCTTTCACTCGGTGACCTAGAGCCCTATTTTCTTTCCTGACAGTGAGGTAATTGTGGGTTATTCTTAACAATCTGTGTTAATCCTTTAACCTTGGATATGTTTTCCTTTTATTTGACAATAGCGTGCTTCATTAAGAATTAAAATATGTAGGAAGTGACAGTGGTTCTGGCAAGCTGATGGGAGAGAGGAAGGAGGCAGTTTGTGGTAGGAACAGATGTGTCAGGATGTGTTAATCCTTCTAACACTGAGGATAAACCGCTGTTCATCTCATGGTGTTTTTCCGTTACTCAGTGCCTTGCTACATGGGAATCATTCCTTACATCACAGACGGACCTTCAGTTGGATGAAGACTCTGAAGATAAACTTTAATCCCACTGAGGACTTCCTCTTGAAGTTTGGGAGGCAGCATCTTTGAACCAAAGTTTTTCTTTTTGGATCGGCTGTGCCCTTTGTAAAATGGATGGAAAACATTTCATACTATCTGGAAAACCGGCAACATGAAAACTCAGGTATTCCAGGTCATTGACATAAATTTGGAGATATATCTATCAGTCTATATAAATCTATTATATGATGTATATTAATATAGATATATAGGTCTATTATATTATACATATATATATATATCTATATTGATAAAGATTTAGCTTAACTTTAATTATGTTCTTAAATTTATGTGCCAATAATTGCATAGAGATTTTTTTTCTTAAATATATGATTGTGGAACATGACATTTTAAATGTTATAAAGACTCAGTTTTAATAAAAAAATTTCATATGAAATATCTGACTGTGGTGTGTTCTTTTTCTACTGATAGTTTTAGCCTCTGAAATGGATCCAACATAAATTTCTATGTTAACAAGTATGTTATACATTCATTCTGATTTCATCACATTTTCGCTGAAACACAACTTTGATGTTAAGAATTTAAAGTAATTTAGCATTATTAAAAATAACTTCAAAAATTGACTTGTTTAAAGTTAAGTTGCTTAAAAGAAGCTTTCAAAATAGATTTAAATTAATTATCAGAAGTATTTATATATCATATTCCTACTTGTAAATCCCCCCATCTCCCTCACGGTACTGTCCGCAAATCATACTTAGCTTTCATCTTTTAAGGTATACAATATTTATCAAGCTTATTCTCATTATCGCACTTACTGTGAGTTGTCTGCCTTTTGCAAGGCCCTTTGTAGGTGGTATCATAATGATAAAAAAGACACACTCACTCTAGCCAGGGTGATGGCACACACCCCTGTGGTGCCAGGCTCAGAAATAAAGGTTGCAATTTGAAGCCTTGCTTGGGTAAGTTAGTGAGATTTTATCTCAAAATAAAAAAAAAAAGGCTGAAAATGTAGCTCAGTATTAAGGTTTTGGGTTCAATCTGTAGTATTCAAAAAAAAAATACTTGATTCAGAGAGCTTACATTCTAATGATATTAATATGTGGAGTGATTTCATAACTGATTTTTATGTTCATATGTTTTCATTTCTCTTTGGCCTGTACGTGAGAGTGGAACTGCTAGATTATTGATTATGTTTAACTATTTGAGGAGCTGCCAGATTATTTTCCAAACTGGCTGCACCATTTTCCTTCTCACCAATACCATATGAGGGTTTCGGTGTCTCCACAACCCCATCAACACTTGTTATTCTTGAAGTGTTTTATTGCAAGCATCCTAGTGGTGTGAAGTAGCATCTCATTTCTGTTTTGTTTTTCTTTGCATGTTTCTAATGCATGTTTCCATGTGCTACTGTTGAACATCTTTTCACATTCTTACTGGCCATATAGATGAAATATGTAAGATGAATAAATGAATATACATGTACATACATGCACATATATATCCATCCTTTGGAGAAATACCTATTCATGTTTTTTTACCCACTTTTAAATTATATTACCTTTTACTTACTGAGTTGTAAGACTTCTATATATGTATTCTAGATACAAATCTTTATAAGATTATGATCATTCATTTCTTTGATTATGTCCTTTAAACTCTAGAAGTTTTACATTTTGATGAAATCCAGTGTAACTGTTTGTCCTTTTGTTCTTCATGCTTTGCGGCTCAAATGTACGAATACATTGTCAAACCTGAGCTTATGCAAATTTACTCTAACGTTTTCTTCTAAGAGTCTTTATAAACTCTTAGACTTAAACTCTTAGACTTTGAGTCACAGAGTTATCTGTGGATGGTGTGAGGAAAGGGCCCCCTCTCATTCTTTTCTGTGCAGGTATTTGTTGTTGCTACTTGTGGAGGGACTGTCATAGTATTAGTGATGAGTCACAGGTCCGCAGAGGTCCTCATGCTGTCAGGTAGCAATGGCTTCTGTTGCTGTTTTCTTTAAGGTGTTGAGATATCAATTGTGCTGGAATTGGTAGTAATATGGAAGTGTGATTATTTGATACCTTATCATAAAATCATTTTAACAATAACATGAATTTTTACTTAAAAGAAAAATCCACTCAATGTCTACATATACTTCTCCTTTGAAATAGTCTCTTTTAAGTAACTATTTCCCAAAATGCAGGTATCCTGTGGTTCATTTACTCCCTTCCCCCAACCCCCGAATATTAAAAACAAACACTGATTTATGTAGGACACATCCTGGCAGTTATACAAAATGGGGGTAGATAGAGTATATTTTGAAAATGGCTGACTGTGAAAAGCTGGGTTCAAATTGTACAACTGCCTGACATCAAACAGTACTGTTCTTTTATTATACTTACCTGGGCAGAGGGAGGAGTTAAATACTTTCACCTTAATTGACTTCTAAACCAAAGGTATGATGATGAATTTCTAAGTTATTGTGGCCTGGAATCCTAGGAAGCCGCTTAGTTTCTGTGTGTATGAGAAGTGAAAATGTGCTTAGGTGAAGCTCAAGGCCAGAGGGTGAATCATGTGAGCTACGGAGCCAGCAGGCCCAGGTTTCACATCTGCCTTGCATCTGGTTCAAATGTAGAAGATCACGTCCATGTCTCCCACTTTTCTTTCTCTCTTTTTAAAAATTTCTCTCAGTTGATAGAATGGGAAACATTATTCACCTCTTTTTTCAAGAACAAGAAGCATACCTACCTTCACACACTTCAAAATCAGTCCATGTTGTATATGCTTGCAAGAAGATTCTAATAAAACGCTAGGTTGTTTTTCTCCCATTTCTTAGCCCCTGACTATCTTGAAGGTACTTTATATGAGCTGTTTATTCCACTTACACTGTTGACCAGCATAACCAATTCCTTCATATTATCTTCTGTAAACAGACTTGTACATTCTCATGTAGAATTTCCAAACTCATATTATATCTGTGCTTTAATTAAGCCTTACTGATTGATTTCTTTTTTTTACTGCTCTTTGTTCTAGTTTGTCCATCTGTCTTTTACTAATTTTGTTTCAGAATTCTTACTGCATTTGACAAAAGAACAAAATCGAAACTACCTAAGGAAAAGAATAGCATTTGATGAGCTTACATAATAATATAAAAGAATATATTTTAAGAAAAATGATCCTTAACAGTCAGCATTCTTTATTTTTATTAGTGCACTTTGCATTACATGATGATGTTTATCATGGAAAGTTGCTACATGTACATGTCACATCTTAATACTTTTACTTTCCATTCTCTGCCTCTCCCTTCTCCATTCTAGATCCCCTTCCCATTTGCAAAACATTCATCTCTGTGTTACCTATACTTATTTTACTTTTCAAATTATATATATTTTGGGTTTCTCATATAAGATACTCAAGCTTGTGTAACTGATTGATTTCACTTAACATTATGGACTCAAGTTTCTGCCATTATATTGTACCTTTCTTGAGCCATTTCCAGTCTTTCTGCTGATTCCTTCTATGAGACTAAATCTGTGATTCTAATTGGGGGCAATTTTGATGGGTGCCATTTTGGATACCGGCGTATGCCAGGCAGGGCCTGAAAATATTTTCAGTGGTCATATATGGAGGAAATGTGTTATTGTTATATAATGGGTAGAGGCCAGATATGCTGCCAGGTGTTCTACAGTGCACAGGCAGCTTGCAGCAACACAAAGTATCTGATTAAAATGTTAATACTGCTCAGATTGGGCTAGGTAATGCATACTAGGAAATCCTGGCTCACAAGTACCCAGCTTTGCCATAGGGAAGGGAAGATTTTGTCCCTTCCAACTGCAGTGCAGTTGAAAGTCTTCAGGGAAAGACTAAGTTTGGATATAGTCAAGCCTTACTTCAACCCAACCACTCTGATTCCTGTCCCAGGCCCATCTGCATGACTAAGAGCCAAGGTACATTACCATTTCTGTGTAAATTATAGCATCCAGGGAGATTATGGCTAAGAAATGATGGCAGCTTTCATGTAGACCACATATTCAAAGTTTCTGTCCAAAAGAACTGACTGCTTTACCCAGATGATGAAGAATATTGGGAAAGATAATAATGAATCACATGTCCAGCCTCTGATTTTAGATAAGCATATATTTCTACCATTTATAATTTTATTCTATACATTTATATAATTAACACTATTCTTATACCTAAAATTTCTCAACAAACAAGGAATAATGTAAAAATAACTCTTTAAGAACATGTAGTAGATTGCAAATATAAATTTATCATTAGTCCAGCATATATAATTACAGAGTCAGTCATAATTTTGACCAAGAAATAACACACAACTGTGAAATTAGAGTTATTAGTACATTCATCTGCCTCAGAAAACAACCTTTACATTAGATTTGATTGAAGGAACCTAGTATATAAAATACATACCTATGCCTAAATACTGAATTGAAAAACCATTGAAACACACTGATGTGAAAAAAATATTGAATGACAAGCTGTAATCCTTTCACAAATATGTTCAGCTGTCTAATTATCTTAACATAAATGGAATAATGAAAATACTGCTACACCTAACATCATTAAAGATCAGTGTACTATTTCAAGAAGACTTGAAAGTTAAGAAAAATGAAATGGATTTAGGGTGTGGACTTTTTTTTTTTTTTGGTCTTCTAATCAAGGGTACTGCTTGCAAAAAGGCATTTTAATTCCTTCCATTTTAGAGACTACATTCCTATAATTGATGTATCTAATGTGTTGCTAGATTACTATTTTACCCCATTAGCCATGCACTTTTTAATTTTGGCAGTCTGGGACATAGATAGGCTTTTTAAAAAATTTTAGAAGCAACTCCTTTTTTTTAATAATATGTTAAGTGAATGTTTCACAAATATGAAGTACAATAAAAGTCACTGAGCTAAAGCAGTAGCATTGTGACTATTTGTTTCCTCTACAGATACCTTGCAAAAGAATTTTAAATAGTACTGACCTTAGTTATTTTTCTCCCCACAATAAAAGGGACAAAATGGGTTTCTTTTGACTATAGAGTGAGGAGTGCCACAATGGCGTGGCTTCTGAGTTTCCCTCCCACAGCACAATCATTCACCAGGCTCCTGAGGCCTCAGCTCTTGAAGATTTGTTTTACGTCTGTCCTCTCATGGTGCTGTTAAGTTTGAACACCCTAGGATCAAGGTGGTTAAGAGCCAACATCTCACATTATTTCAATCAACCTTTATCAGATATATAAGATATCTAAAGGACAAAGTAGCTCATGTTTGGCCGTTCTCTCTATTTGATCTTACCTTTTGCAGGCTCTAGCATCACAACACATGGAGCCTGAAACACAGCATCCCTGGGTGTCAGTTTATGTCGGTGGCCCCCAGACCTCATGCATTTGCATTATGCATTTGTGATTGGTTCATTGTCTTGGATTGATGGTGTCAGTGCTAC